CCTTTTTTCACTTTGGAAACACCGATGCACGCAGTTTCTTCACCTCAGTCGCACTTGTTTCGATCTTGTCTTCCATTTTTCATCATAATCTGGATTACCCAAAATTATCGTGAACTGTGCCTTTAAGAAATGGATGTAGCAGTCAATCCTTACCTGATGAATTCCCTCATGCAACTGGTACGTTACAACTCGTAGCTCTTTACAGAAAGTTGACAAATGACCAGTACATAGCTCTAAAACCAGCTCTAAATCATGGCTACACGTTGTTTTGTTGCCAAAAGTAAGCAGGTCATGGCTTGACTATTATTACGTCGTCTGCGAAACGGGAATTTGATTTACAGTTTCGGCTCTGCTGCAATAGTCTATTTTTAATTTATTTATTGTTTCTTTATTTCTACCCGAGGTAATAAGTGGGTCAATCTGCTTGATTTCCCAGATGTGGCTGTGGCCGGTTGATGGGAGCACATTCACAATTGGCTCTGTCACGTTTCTCAGTATTTTCACAAGGTGCACGAATCGAAGAAGGACAACCATGGTCGATCGCCACCCATACACAAACGTCACCCACGGATGCTTTCGGTACTATTGTGTTTCAGGTTAGTGGCTCAGGGAATCAAATCTTACCACCCACTCTACCTAACCGTGTTTGAAATTGTCTCTTAGAAAAGCACTTTGTTTTCCCTGGTCAGTTCCCAGTTTATCATTAATAGGTGTGGTCAAAAGTGTCGATCCCATAGGCTGATCGATGGCTCCATTTTCAGCACCTTTCTCTTTCCGCTGCAACCCTTTCTGATTTCTGATCTTCTTGTTTTCTAAATATATCCTTTTAGACATATTTCAACTCAAAGCCTTCATCTTTATACTTCAGGGTGGCGCACATGCCCACAAAGCTCAGTTCATTCGCCTTGGATACGATTCTGAACCGGAAAATGTGATGTATCTCATGGAAAAGGCAAGTGATTATCTTCTTTGCTACTGATTGCTGTCAGCGTTGCCATCATGGGAGATGACCACAAAAACTTGGGTCTATTGGAGGAGTTCCGCTCTACGCACGGCGCTATTAGCTAGTTGCCTCGTCGCGTGGCTATTTTTTGTTTAGTTGCCTTGTACGGGTTTCCGTAAATCTTATCATTATTGTAGCTTGGCGTAGGTAGCGTCTTGAACTCTGAAGGGGTAGGAGTGTGAGATGAAGTAGGTTGGGTGACTTGAACTCTCATGAACTTTTATTGGGGAACGTCCGTTTCGCGCGTCCGTCAAAAATTGGTCACTCCGCCTGCTCAGCGCGCGGCGTAGCCCAACGCGGTCTCGAGGTTACTTCGAAGTACCTCTACGTGTCAGTGGAGCGAATCATCGTATGCTCCATTGCGACATCTATCAAATATCGCGGACTGACGCGGCGACTGCGGCGTGACCTAGTTTGGACACGCGCGAAACGAAGCGCCCACTTTTATCCGAGGTGCTTCAAAGTGGGAAATCGCATAAATCAACTATGTAGTACCTTAAGGAACAATAAGTTTTTAGTAGTGTTGATTGCAAGAAGGATTTCTTTTCTGGTCAGGGCTTTTTTAAATTGCGACTCATCGACGGGAACAGTGAGGAGACGACATAATTCCAGGTTTGGGGCCTACAACCGCCTCGACTCGTCATCACCGTACATGGAGGCATGACAAATTTCGAGTAAGTTGGCATCACCGTCGGTTAATATTTTCTCGAGATCACCAAGCATGAGCAAGATTTTGCCGCGACTTGTCTACTACCCGTACTCGTACCTGTGGCCATCCACAGGGGAGCCTTTTTTCCATCAATTTTTTTTTGCATTTCCACCTACATATGTGTCCCATTTCAGGGTACAAGAAAAACTGGGCGGTATGTTTCGTGATGGGCTCCTGAAAGCAGCACAAACCACAGGAGCATGGATAATAACAAGTGGATTGGATTGCGGTGTAGTGAAACACGTGGCTCGAGCACTTGACGATGCCGGTATTTCAGCTAGGTTCGGTCCCATCACGATAATGCATTACGGTTATGTCGATTTGGTGTCGAAAGTGTAT